ATGCGTGTCGGCCGCCGGCGCTGGATGCGTGTCGGCCGCCGGCGCTGGATGCGTGTCGGCCGCCGGCGCTGGATGCGTGTCGGCCGCCGAGCGCTGGATGCGTAACGGCCGCCGTCGCTGGATGCGTGTCGGCCGCCGTCGCTGGATGCGTGTCGGCCGCCGTCGCTGGATGCGTGTCGGCTGCGGGCGGCGCTGGATGCGCTCATTAAGTCGGACCTGCATGCTGGATGCGCTCATTTAGGCTCTGCATTCATTAATGCAGGTCCTGAAGTGTCCACTTGAGGCGCGTGCAGTGCAACTCATTAACATAATTAGCGAGGCGACACTAAGCCTGGAATGTATCTTGCTTCTCGGCGTCGCTGAAAGTTAACTTAGGACGTCATTGCAGTCCCGGTAATAATTATATTTCAGGGATAAAATTCATATTTTGTCGCGTATACTTTATTTTAACAAATACATAGCGTTAGTGATATGTGAGGACGTGTGATGTGTGATATATGAGTGTGATGTTAGTGATGTGTGAGGAAGTGTGATGTGTGATGTGTGAGTGTGATGTTAGTGATGTGTGAGGAAGTGTGATGTGTGATGTGTGAGTGTGATGTTAGTGATGTGTGAGGAAGTGTGATGTGTGATATGGCACTGTGTATTTAGTGGTGTGTTAGGAAGTGTGATGTGTGATATGTGTGATATGTGAGTGTGTCGTTAGTGATGTGTGAGTAAGTGTGATGTGTGATATGTGAGTGTGTCGTTAGTGATGTGTGAGGAAGTGTGATGTGTGATGTGTGAAGTGTGAGTGTGTCGTTACTCGTTAGTGATATGTGAGGAAGAATATATTCGGCGACTGATTTGATTACGGATTACGGAAACATAAGGATTGCTAAAATGTTTGTCCATTATCTATATCGCAATTTGGTTTCTCACCAAAATAATTCAATTTTTACCGAAATTTAATGTTATGCAGCCTAAACTACGTTTAATATAGTGAGGGTTCGCAAATAACGTAATAAATTATGCAACTCTGCGTAGCTTGAATAAGAACTACAAAAGAAATTGCACTTGCTTTGCAGTTGCTCTTAACCAGCGACAGAAGGATCATCGGCTACATGATTAATCGAGTGTGGAAGATCTTGGCATAACAACTATTGTCTAATTGAACCTTATCACAAACACGTTATTATATATTTTTATACAGCGGAATGATGAATATGCTATATATTGAACGAATAATGACTGATTTATGAGGTCCGATATTGGATAAACTTATATAATCGAAATAATTTTTTTAATGTATTGTTTAGCGTGAATTTATTCGGTGCAGAAACATTTTGAGATCCTAAGCTCCCTCGTATAATCAATCTTTCGTTCTATTTCAATTTATTTTCGTTCGTTTATTTTCAGCCCAATTACTGCTATTCTGTATTTATATTTGCATAAAATACTAGTATTTAATTTGTGTATTTATCACGTATAGGAACCAACAAACTACTTATTTAAATTAGCGTCGTCATACGTCTTGCCTCAAGCCCTACAGTCTTTCGAATGGCAATTACCATAGTTACTCCTGATGATCGAGCGTTCAACGTTTTTCTATGAAACGGTGTTTAATTATTTATTTTCTTTCATTGTAGAACGCTAGATTTCTTTGTCCTTGCCTGTTATTCTGTGCAAAATGTGAAGTCTCCTAATCATCTAATCATTAAGGACATGATAAGCGCATCAAAGAAATTAATTATTATGCTATTAATTCAAGAATGTGCAGCACAAGAGATACTACTAGCTGAGTAGCTGACTGCTTTAAATAAATTCTACCTACGTAGTATTAAAGCCGTGTTCTGAGTTCTGACACGAGAATAATTTCTACCAATTCTGCGTCGGAACTGCCATCACATAACAATAGGGCATGCCTCTTACGTTTCTGTTGCACTTTTAATACCCAAACAACAACTCTGTATGGACGTTATTGATACCTGCAATTCTGCTGCTCATGCGCGCTCCCGTCGACCGCCGGAGCACAGTGACCTCACCCGTGACCCAGCCCTCTCATTCCCCAGCCCTCTCACTCCCCAGCCCTCTCCCTCCCTAGCCCTCTCACTCCCCAGCCCTCTCACTCTCCAGCCCTGTCACTCCCCAGCCCTCTCACTCTCCAGCCCTGTCACTCCCCAGCCCTCTCACCTCTAGACATGCCTCTGTGCCTAGCAGCAAAATGGTGCTATACTAGCTCATCCTCAACGGGATTCGAACCCGCGGCCTCTGGATTAGAAGTCCAGCGCGCTATCCACTGCGCCATGAGGACCGTAGAGTGTGACTATTACAAGACAATATATTACAGAACTATACATTTGGGTATAATTAAGGTTCTGGTTTTAGTCTAAATTAAAGTATTAATCGAGTGGTATTTTTTCAGAATGCAGTAAGGCAACAGAAACTGGGACTAAAGTGATGCATTGATGGTATAAGGGGTATCATGGTAAGACACGTTATTCTGAATATTGCGGTATAAGTTTTTAAACATTTAATTGCGCATTGTAATCACAATAAGGCTTAACATAGAGAGTGAACATAGGCTGAACATAGGCAGTGAGAATAGGGCTGAAAAAACTGAGAATGCCTAAAATTTTCTATATCTTTCACAGGATGTTAGAAACAAACTTGTCCGTCAGGCTTTAACATCGAAATTTTTGATAACATTTTTATTTTGAGAAACTTTAACAATGAATGACAGAAAAAATGAGACAGACGTCAGTCATTCGTGCGAATTTTGTTCAAAAAATTCGAATAATTTCGTTAACTTCGCTAAGAAACTTTTTAAAATATAATAATAATTCACTACTGAGCAAATGGTCCCTGATTGATCCGTTGCGTGTTGGCCTTCTCGATCAAGATTAGCTAAACTGGGTTAAAGAATCGATCACAGGCCATTATATTGATTATATGCTTGTTTCATATAAAGGAAAAAATCATTAGCATGCAAATAGTCATTTCATTGATAACAATTTCAACAAACAGGTCGCGTTGTTAGTGGTGGTCCTTAATCATTGATTTCCAATCTAAAAAAATAGACCTGATTGTTTAGTGGCGACCAACAGGATAATGACATTATAAGTTTATCAAAAAGCTGGTATATCATGTCGTTATTGTAATAACATATTTTATTCGCTTTACGGAAAGCTGAAATGCCAAGAGACTACATGTGCGCTAAAATGTTTACTTTGAACAAAGTATTTTTCCTGGCAAAGTTTAAAACATTTTTTACATTATTTCTTTCGTCGAAAGAATGGATTTCAACCATTAATTGAGCAAAATTTTCTCTCGTAAGGATAGAGACTTCCTCAAATTTCATTCTGGCTCAGGAGTTTTCACTCATTAAAAAAATTTATTTGAAAATGAAATGTTTGTGCGTGAGACGCACTAATTTTCGTGCCGTACGTTGATATAGGCCCTATATTCATCACACTACGTTGTTGATACTCGAGTTTCCGTGTACGCAGTTAGTAAATCAATAGACTTGAATGTCTTATGCTTGTTAAAACAACATTTCTCAGTAGTAATTGTGGTGTAATTTGATTATTATATTTGTAAATGATCAATTGATAAACGATTTACATGACATTTTTACCTCATGACATGAATGATTTTTTTGCACAACAGGTTTAGAAAAGGAAAATATATGGAATTAATGTGATTGATTGAAATATTTTGTAATTAAATAAATTAATATATTGTAATTAAAGATTTGTGTGTACCAAATGTTTTAATACATTTCTACTAATGCTATTGATTAGTTATTTCTTTTGTATTTACCTGCAACTGGAATTTGAATTCATTCTGATGTATTATTTTTTTTATTTGTACATGAAGTGCATTGATATGCCAAAATTCCAGACGGCATTGTCTAAAGTTGCTTAAGTCTCCTTCCAATTCCTTCCCTTCCTTGAAGAAATAGGCCATGGGCCTATTTCTTCCACGCCGACACTTCTATTCTATTCTAATAGACCTGAAAACAACAAGGCATGCTTGCTTTGTTGAATAATAGTAATCTGGTAAAGCCGTTGTTTGGTTGCTCTCCCAGAGGATGATCTTTTAATGTTTCGACCATAAAATTAAATAACTATGTATTGTTTATCTCAGTACTGCATCCTATAAAAGCTTGAATAATTTTTTTATATCGAGCTATGAACAGCATTTCTGGTTGGCTTGTTTCTACCAGATTTTGTGATTCAGAAGCTTGCTGGTTAGCAGGTTTTGTAATAAATTATTATCCATGATCATATACGTGGATGACACGATCTGTGCTAGATTAAGGTTCCTAGAGAGTTTATGATAACGTTCGCTCACGACGTTAACGCGAATGCAGTCGATGCTACTTTATAATGAAAAGAAGAAGCCGAAATTTTGTATTCTTTTTCAAAATTTTGTGTTTTTGTATTGTAGAAGCCAAAAAATTTTGTAATAATTATATTGGAATAAATATTTAGAAATAGGTAATAAAAGCTTTTCAAATGGTGGTCTGGATAGGCAAGGTTATAAATTGCATGAATAAAATGTGTTCTCAAGCGCGCATGCTTATAACCGTAGATTTTAAGAATACAATGCTAGAAAGAAAACTATTCCGATGAACTTTTTAGGGGAAACTGTATTACTTGGACTCTTTAGCAGGCACTTTGTGCACAGCTGCACACTAGTTGTTAACAAATTTGTAACCGTTATAGCTTATATCAAGGCATCGACTCTATTTTTTCTGCTCAATTATTATGAAAAAACAGATGTTGCTTCCTTCATATTCGCTTCGAATGTAAACAGTATCCAAGTGCTGCGTAAATTATCTTGTGAGTTGTGACCATATTAAGAACTTCAATTTAATTCTCATTACCTTCATTCCTTCACCAGGCCATAGATACCTTTTCTTATTTATCATGCTTTATTATTGATGTATATCCTAATTTCTTTTTGAGACTAAATTTATTATTTTTGCATGCTTTTTAAAAATGAAACACGTCCGCTACATTTTCAATAGTTTTTTCTGACACAAATTCGAACACTGATATCATAAGAAAAATATGGCAGAACGTAACAGCATTCAATCAATTATCAGCCGATACAAAACAGAAGTTTCAGCATCGAATGCGTACTGTACAAATAATGAAATCTAAATGTCGGTTTAAAATGAGAATAACTTCTATAATTATACTCTCGATCGATATATCGTTCGCTCGTGTTATCGTTTCCTCTCGCGTAGATGGCCACCCAAAAATTTCCGAGCAACATGGAAAGTTCGAGGCTGGTAGCCTTCGTGGTGTTTGCAGGCACAATTTATAAGGACGCGGCCGTCTCATCTGCTGAGGCTGAGCTGACATCAGTTTGAGAGTCTGTACTGGATGAGGATTCAGGAGCGGAACTTGGAGCCGTTTCTGAAGCTGAAGTAGGAGCGGCTTCTGTGTCTGAAGCAGGCCCTGATTCTGAAGTTGAAGTGGCCTCTGTGTCTGAAGCGGGTGCTGATGCTGAAGTGGCATCGGTTTCTGAAGGCACCACGGCTGCCCTAGCTTCGGCTTGCAGTCGTTTTTGTTCGTTCGCAAATCGAATCTGAGGAAAAATCAAATAATAAGAAACTGATATTCACTGTTCGTCATTAAATATCACGACACTATCTCTCCTTGCGGGGTTCATTTATGTTGTGAGATTTTGCAGGAGAAAATACTCATCCACGGATGATTCAGAGTGCTTCGACTCGCCTATAATCAAAGTTCAGAATCTGCTAAATGAACATTGAAATAAAGCGGAGTAACCTTGAAGAACCAGCCACGATGGTATATTCTTGATTCATGCCGTTCTTCACACCCTTGCCACCACAACGACCAGAATTTACATAAGTTTGGGGTCTCGATCTCCCAACTCGCTGCTCCAAACTTGGGTATCATATCTTATACGAGAGGTGATCGAATCTCGGTGACCCCTTGGTCACCCCAATCTGCCCTCCTACGATATAGACAAAACCTCTCGATAGTCCGTCCATTGTTCTGCTTAGTTCATAAATACTGAGCACATGCATAACACGGCGTTTAAGAACGTATAGCTGCTAACATGAGGAGCGGTCAATTCCGTGAAGAGGATCCTTGACGCAAAAACGCGTCTGAATTCAACCCTTTGGACTACTATTTTCAGGTGTAAATTGATGCTAAGGCTTGGACAATTAAATCCTCGAAAATTCGTTGCGGCCATTAAGCTATGCAGTAATTAGTCCTCAGAACCTTACTTTTTCCTAATATATACTTTTACTGCCTTGCCTATTCCTGCCGTACTACATCTAGCTTATGGAGAAGATCCTTGAGACACGTCGTCAAAGACATTGATCCTTTTTTACTTCATTTGTTCTTTTCGTTCTCGGTACAGGCCCATTTTGTTTTCACGCCACATCGTACCTGTTCTATGGCCCACTCCGGTCCATTTTGTTGTAACAAAACATCTTACCTGTTCTATGTCCTAATCTGGCCCATTTTGTTGTAACGCCACATCTTATTTGTTCTATATGGCCCACTCCGGCCCATTTTGTTGTAACGCCACATCTTATTTGTTCTATGGCCCACTCCGGCCCATTTTGTTGTAACGCCACATCGTACCTGTTCTACGGCCCACTCCGGCCCATTTTGTTGTAACGCCACATCGTACCTGTTCTACGGCCCACTCCGGCATGGGGGGCGGTGTGGGCAGCATGTTGCCAACCGCCACGAACCCGTTCACTCCAGACGTGTACGAGAGGCGGTGCTCCGTGCCATCGGGGTGGAAAAATCTGACGAAAGAGGTGTACTTTAGCCTGGTTATAAATAACCTCAAGTGTATAAGCTCTGCTTGTTAGTGATGGATGTTGTTGTTCAAATCGTCACCATTAAAGATTAAAGTAAACTTCGTAATTCGAAAAATACATTTATCATCAATAATTAAATATTTAATATATCATCATATACATCAAACTGGAAACACATGTATTCTAAATTACGAGAAGTGCAATAATATAAGAGAGAAGAGCTCGCATTGAGTTTTGGGGACTTCGAACTTTGTAAAAATTTACAAATGAGAAATGATCGCACTTTTTGTCGAAAGATGTTTCATTGAACATATACTTCAAAATATCGTTTCTGTTGAACTTACGAGTACTCTCCGACGGTCTCGTACTCCGGCAGCGCGTTAGCCTGCGCCACGAGGCCGGCAGGCAGTGGCTTGAGAGAAGATTTTTCCGACCTGAACTGTCCATCACTGGAGCGATACCTGCCGGGGATATCACCGACATGTGGAACAGCCTCCCAGATAGCATCGTTGACGCTCCGAGTATGAACATCTTCATGAACAGACTAGACGAAGCTATGCAGGAGCATATGTTCAGTCTTAAAATGCCTAGCAAATTACGGACCAGGCAATAAGTCCAGCAGCTATCTCAATCAATCGTCAGTTATGGAAAGTATGGGTTCCAAAGGCCGGATCCCTTGTGAATCAAGTCACGAAAAATTCAAGAATCGGCAACAGGCCATGGGCCTATTTCTTCAACGCCGACACTTCTATTCTATTCTATTCTAATGTGTCTGTGTCTCTGTCGTCATTAAAGGACCCTGAATGACCTCAGTTATATGAGTTATATAACTCGCATAACTACAACTCGCAGAAAATTTTTATATAATTATACAACTCGTATGCAACTCGCATAAATTTATCCACGAATAGACGAATGCTGTGCAAGCATTTTTGAGGTCAGGTATTCAGGTTCGTTAGCTCTGGGTCAAAGTGGCGCAAAAATTATTCGTAGACAATATTTTAAAAATTAAATACAAAATATTAAGTTTATTAAATCAAACAATATATATTTCACAAATTATGCGTTGCGCCTTAACTATGTGTATAAAAAATTTCACATCACAAAAAATATATATATAAATTTTTTTTTGTATTAGATGGTATAATTTCTAGGACCATACGTCGCTTTAAAGCTTCAAAATAATGTGAAAAAATGCAGGCCAAGACCATAAAAAAGTCGGCAAAATATGCTCTGAGATTCAAAAGCTCGCGTCCAGCTTTAATGGTCACTTTGAAGCATTAACATATCTTCAATCAATCTTATAACTTGCCGAACGATGTGCACTGGCTTTGGTCTTAGTATCAGCACCAGCAGTTTAGCTGATTGCAATAGAATTGGTTTAGATTGCCTGAGAATATTACAATTGATGTTATATTTTCTTGTCTTAGCTCTTAGTCGTACCTGAATCCGAAAGCGTTTCCAACAATTGGATCTCGCTCATCCAACAAGATTTGAGCAACAATTGGCACTACTGCTGCGGCCGGGGCCGAGTCAAGTGATCGGGCTGCTGCTACCGGCGTAGCATCGGCTGCTAGAGGATCTGGAGTGGCAGTGGCGGCAGATACAGCTGTGGCAGCTGCTTGTGCAAAAACTGTTGGAGCAGCTTTGGCTGCAGTATCTCCTGCAATGGATTGAGTTACTTGAATAGCAGACACTGCAGCTGACGTCTCAAGTTCCTGTGAAGGAGACAACTCTGCCACAGCGGTGGGGCTAGAGACCTCGGGCTGAGATTCATCATTGAGAGCCGCGGCTTCTTCGGGCGCCTCTTCTGGACCTTTCGATACCTCTTCAGCAACTGAAACAGGTTCCACTGATGCTGATTTAGACTCCGGTTCTGCAGGATGGCTTGCATCTTCAACCTCAATGATTAGTTCCGAGTTGTTTATGGCGTTCGGTGTTGAAGCATCGCCATCAACTTCAGAAGCCGCCTCAGCTTCTTGTGTTGGCGGCTTATTGTCCAATGCTGGAATTTCCAGAGGCTGTTCGACTTCGTTTGCTGATACCAAGACCGGCACGGCTCTTTCGCCAATTGCAGGACCCGGGGCGTCGGCAGCCTCGACTTCAGCTTTCACTTCAGTTTCCGATTCAACTCCCGTTTTATTTTCGATTTCAGCTCCTGCTTCGGTGTCGGCTTCAGCTTCTGCTCGGATCTCGATTTCAGCATTTGTTTTGGTATCGACTTCAGCTTCCGCTTTTGTATCGACTTCCGCTCCTGTTTTAGTACCGACTTCAGCTTCCGCTTTGGTATCCACTTCAGTTTCCGCTTTGTTCTCGACTTCAGCTTCCGTTTTGCTCTCGACTTCAGCTTCCGCTTTGTTCTCGACTTCAGTCGCGGCTCTTTCTTCAGCGGCCACTTCGTTGGCTTGGGCCGCCGCGGCGGCTCGTGCGGCTCTGATGGACTCCATCACCGATTGCCCGATGGTCATTTGAGGAGCGGCCTCAACCGCCACCGCCACCACCGCAAGCAGAAGAACCTGCAAGATTACAACTTAGCTGTTCACTACGCTATTTATAGGAAGACACAAACTAGAAATAAAACCTCTCGAATACATTCGAACTTAATATAAATTGACACACGAGAAATGACCGCGCTTTTTGTCGAAAGATGTTTCATTGAACATACACTTCAAAATATCGGTCCGGCACAGATCACGCACTAGAAACAGATTAGGTCGTTAAGTATTTAGAGAAATGCGCATGAATTTGAAGGATATCCCAGAAAGTTTTAAGTATCCGGGCAGCATAATTTTGTCTCAAAAAAGAGAAATGACGCAGTCACATAAAATGTATTGGTGCCCATCAAACGAAGGAAAAGCAACTCAATCGTATGTTCGAGTGAACAATGCGATTTTACCATTTTATAGAGTTACTTATTCAGCTGATTTATGTCTAACGCGGATGTACAAGGAATGTTCCACTAACTGCATACATAGTAATTTCCAATGGCGCTATCAAGCAAACAAACTTTTGAGGTATTCCGGGCATAAATCGTGTTATTTGTTTATTTGTAGCTATACAACGCTAACAACGCTAACAGCCAACAAATTTTCTTGTCATTTTCTCGTGACGCCCATTGCCGTTGTCTAATACTTGTCTAAAAATTGGAACGTACTTAAAAATTGAATTTTCAGCAATACTGGAGACAACATTTTACATGTCTGGTGTAAGTTGATCATATGTTATATGGGATTATTATGAATTATTTTATTTCCTACCCATGGATATACAGAGAATGAAATGCTTTAGTTTCATTGCTCTTCAAAATAGCAGTTTGCTCTTTGTGCCAATTTCAAGAGCACTAATTTTTACTAAATGTATGTGATGAATGACGAGGCATTAAGGAACGATAATCGTATTGGAATGCCGCTCAAGTTTAGGCGCGATATCGGAAATCCATACGTGCATCAATCAACACTCTGCCTACTTGCGTGGAGGGCATCGCATTGCAGTGAAAAACACTGCCCGTCACTTATTTGTTAACAAAACCCTGTGCATGACGCGAAAATGAAAGGATTTACGTGTTCTTAAAATGGGCAGCAATGATATAAACAATTTTATATTGCCTACATTGAAGCGCGCCGATGATACAAACACAATTGAACGTACAAGTACAATCCTCGTTCTAATTTTCATGAAATATACTCAAGATTGTAAAGCCAACTTAAGGCGTAGTCATAGCATACGTAGTATTTGCGTATTCCACATAAGAATTAAACAGAAGTTTCTACTTCAATAAATTTATGGTATTTCTCATGCAATTGGAACATTTCTTCACTGATAAAACACTGTCAATAAACGCAATTGAGATTCAGGTTAAATTTTCTAAACGTAAGACAGAGCAGACGCAAAGAAGGCACGTAGACCAGCGTTACGTCAGAGTGTTGGCTGAAGCATGCAACTGTAATGCAATTGTTGACATTTGTACCGCAGCAAACGCAGTGCAGGTTCAGTGAGGAAATGTGTCTTTTTATGAATATGAATGTCAAAATGTCAGAAAGGTCTTCGTGTTTCCGAGGGAAGCAAATTATTTATGCTTATTTTTGTAAAGAAATTTCAATGACATTTACCCCCTTTGAATCGAATTATATTCGTGTCTTCAGTGCCACGATGAATGTTTTTTTCATAAATGTAAATGATATTAATGCATAATATTGTGCGTCGTTAAAGAATTTGATTAAATAAACATTATTTATACGTAGAATTCAGCTCTGTATCATTTCAATCGAGCTTAACGATAGTTTCGCTTCATTGATTATAATGGGGTGTGAAATCCTGCCTTGTTTTATTCTTGTTTTAAAAATGCACATTGAAAATTAATTTCTTCTCTTATAAGTAAAGATTCTATTTTGTTTCTCGCCAAAAAAGAGATTCTCTTCACATAACCTACAATTTCCCTGTATTTCTCATGGAAAGAGCAGGACTCATAACTCCTCTTACTAAATCTTGTATAAAAGTTTGGGGCGTCACTATATACGAGTATAATACTGTATTTTTATAGATGCGAATCATTGTATCATCAGATAGCTTGGTAATTTTCAGTTCCCATTATTTTATACCCTGTTTGCCGCATTATATTCTCAAACCAAAATATGAACTAATTATCTTTTAATCATCTGATAATCCAAGAATTATCAGCCTCTGCATCGGAACTTGAATAATACAATAGTGGTCAGGGGCCAGTCAATAATAGTGGTCAGGGCCAGTCATGCACTGGCCCCTGACCACTCAGAGCTCTTCCGGGCCACTCAACTCAAATTCAGAGCACTTCGTACAAGACGGAACACTCAAGATAAGAATTACTTGAACTTTCCCCGCGTTGCTGGCCAACAGCTGTACGGCTAATAGGAACAAAGCGACATTAAATTTCACGTATGAACTTTTTCAGAGCTTCATTTTATCGCAAGATCCAGATGGGAAGGACGCAACGCTTTGTAAAGGTGAAGTCTAGCTCAGCATGCAGCATCGTGCGCCCAAGTTAAGCTAGGAGCGCCACGACTCGCTCATTGAAATTACCGTCTCCTGCCAACAAATGAAAGTTTTATTTATTTTCGAGTCGTAGCGGCTGCAATTGATAACTTGAGTTACGCGAAATACTGTTAATTATTTAGTGAGGCAACTTTTCGCGGGGGATAGACAAGCTCAAACTTATTAGTATACCATTTCGGTCATCGTTGATTATTCATTGCTGAAATACCATCCACAGATGCATTTAAGCTATATATATTAATTTCTAGTTGGAAGAATCCACAATTTATTGCCTACAATTGAAGCCTCCTTTCAAAAACGAAGATTTGGTTTCTTAAATAATTGCATACAATCACCTACACATATGAACGAAAATTGTGTGTATATCTATCGGAATAAAATTAATCATAAAACATTATGACCACGCGTCTTACAAGCAATCACAAATTAAAATTGCTGATTTTAGACGAGCCTCGTTATCACAAGTTCAGAATGATTAGTTTATGCTGTAATGGATGTAATTAAGTGTGATTGAATTTAAGAAGAGACAGAAATCCTTTCTATTATCAACCGAGATGTTTGTTGTAAGCAGATGAAAAGTATGAGTAATGCTCAATCTTCATTTTAAAGTAAGGATATAACGATTTTATAACAAATATCGCTTCACATCTTTGCCTTATTCAGATGTAACTTCTAAACGTTAACAGTGAGAACAACGCACTATTTAAATTCCCATATAAGAGACTCCGCCACGCTACAATTGAAAACTAAAACGCACCACTTCGCTTCCCGCGGGGCCTATACCGTCAAAAAAAGTTATGAGATCGTAAGTTCATCAGCCAATCATTGACGGCCTTTCAAGCATAATCCACCATTCACAGACAAGAAAATAGAGCGTAAGTACTTACGTTCACTTAGTGAGTTTTGAAAGTATGGCCCGCCGTTAGATAACTATAACGTACCACTTCACTTCCAAGTTGTTAATTATAACGCCTTACTTCACTTCTCAATAGTTAGCTGAAACGCAATATTTAACGTCTCATTAGACAAATAAAACGCGTTACTTCACTTCCGATTAAAGTACTAAACAGCTCCACTACACACTTCCCAATAAAAATATAACTCAGTACTCACTGCAGTGAGTGACAGAGAGCGCATTTTCTCGTCGACGAAAACGTGGAGTCGCGGACGGACGGACAGACGGACATGGCGAGCACAATAGTGCATTTTTCCATAAATGAGAAAATGCGCTAAAAAACAGGTACGTAATACTTAACAGCCAAATCAAGACCAAGATCTGGTTTTAAACTCAACGAATTTTCTATTGCGACACGGAATTTTACAGGAAAATATTTCGGATTGAATTCTCCGTGCATGGAATTTACAATTTGAAATAATCTAAAATTACCCGATTATAGCAGATTGGAAAAAATATTCTAACGCAAAAGCACGAGTTTTCCTATTTTCTGTACGTTTTTTCAATTAGTCTGTCATGCCCAGAAGTAAACTATTTCTGATGTAAAATAGATCAGAAAGTATTTGCTGGCCTTATTCGTATTGTTCATAAATCAAATCAAATTATTTTCTCATATGAGTTATAAAGTAATTAGATGTGTGAACAAAGCTGTCATTCAGTGGCTAGGCTTAAACGCTAAATTAAAGCCATTATATTCACTGTTTCGATGACGATATAAAAATTATCAATATATAATATTAATAATAAAAGCACATCACTGATTCTCATCTCTCCAACGCACTACGTAACATAATAATCTCTTCTGGTCTCCGTCGAACGATGTGTTGCCTAACGCCAACGACTTACCAGCTTCATTTCCACTAGTAATTTTCCACTGGACGAAGTAATCTTAATGGTGGATCAAACGACACGTTGTTTGTAGCAGGAGAATGAGTGAGATGAAGAGGGGGAAGAAGAATGAAGGCTACAATAAAAGTTCGTGATAGTCAGGGCAAGAGATCGGGTCGGGTTGGGTCGGTCGGATGGAGCAGCAGCCTGAGTGCCGCCTTGTACGTGTTGTCTCGGCGACGAAAGTGATAGTAATTGAGGTGCCCCACGATAAGCACCGGCATTTATAGCATCCGTTGGTAAGGCGCAGCGCGCTCTGGCAGCGTGAGGGCATGGCTACCAAACCCTGGTCGGCTTTGCCCTCCTAACAAACGGTAAAACAAAACCAAAAAGAATTCTGGTGCTCAAGTTTCAATCTTAGCTTTTCTTGCAGTTTTGACCTCAACTTGAACACTGCAGGTAGAATCACGACATTCGTTCAGGCTGGCATTCGTCCCACTTATGGAAAACGGCAAGAAAGGACGCGTGCATTCAAGACTCCGAAAAAGATCTCAGCGTTTGATTGTGCTGGCGACACTGAGTATTATGTTCCACTTCTGCAACGCGTTTCAAGGGCTAGTTATACAGTTAGCGTCGAAATTATTCGTACACCCCTTTCTCCTCAATTTTTTCTTTATTAACTCGAAAATTAATGAATGTAAGTGCATAAGATTTTATTGAACTTAGCAGCAACAATAGCACTATATTTCAAAAACAAAATGTAATTTCAAACGTTTTAACATGCAAAATTTTCCCAACACCTTCACACACAATTGTTCGTAGAGCTGGAAAATACTAACGCATAGTATCATTAATCAATGGCATGTCCTTTCATCTTGATACTCTCCAGCCGTTTCTTTCTATAGTTCTTTATGAGTTTCGAAGTGGCATCTGGTTTGTTATTATCCCATACGGCCATACTTCAATGCGACGTGTTTCAATTCCTGCATGGCGATTCTTGGGAGGTCAATTATTATTGATTCTAACTTTCAAGTCTCGCCATAAATTTTCAATCGGGTTCAGGTCTCTGCTACTTGCTGGTAAGGGAAGAACAGTTACCTTCGTTTTATTAAGCCAATTGGTTGAAGCTTTAGGATCATTATCTTGCTGGAAGTTGTATCGTCGTCCAAGACCTAAATTCAGAGCGGATGCTTGCATGTTTTCCTTCAAAATCGATGTATAAACATCTGAGTTCATTACTTTATCAATTGGAACTAACTTCTCTTGTGGATAAATAAACAACCCCCATACATCATTGATCCATCCCCAGGCACGACATTTGGGATTGTGTTCTTAGGCAGGAAAGCTTATCCATTTTTGCGCTATTTATACCGGGTTATTCGTTCAGTAGGAAGCACGCACACATATTTTATCGATTGGTTTGCGTTGGCCTTATTTTGATTCTGTTTTGAAGCTTTGATAAAGGCCTTTGATAATTAAGACGTGTCTAATAGACCGTAAAATGGACAACCACTAAAATGCTCCTAAATTTATTTGTAGCATCGTCAGCACTGTTTCTTTACTAAATAAAGCCCTGCTAAGCTTTACAAATTCTACATAACAGCCATGTAGAGTGAAAAAGTGTCGTTGGTTTTAGGGACAGTCTCCACAAATCTGACGGAATTTTCCATAAATCCGAAACTGGCTACTTCTGAATCTTTTAGAAAACTGACATTATTATATCAAATGTGAACAGCTAATGAAGCTCTTTATAATATTAATGGTGACTAAAAATATCTACCTAATGTATCATAGAATGCTTTGGCTCCCTAACGAATGTTTCCTCGGTTTTTATTGGTTTTTACATTTTTCGTCGAAAGAGTTGCGGTGATCGTGAACATGTATGGCCAGATGACTCGTTCTCTCCATTTGTATCATTACTTATTTGTTGCATGGTTAAGTCAGATCGTTTATCCAGATTATTCATTAAACACCTGTACGAAAAATAATTAAAGTAATATAACAATCGTACTACTAATACAATCTGGTTAGCCAGCCAACTGGTGCTGACCCAATTGAAGATTTGCATATATTAAGTACCTATTCGACTAAAACCCTACATAACTCCTATTAAAGAACAAAATGAAATCGACAAAAATTTCATAAAACTTGAAACTACCTAAAGGAAAAAGGTCACGAAATCAGCTTGCAATATTATTGCTACGGAATATTCCATCTACGTGTTCTTGCATAATCTTCTATCGACTTTGTTCTATTGTGAATAAAATCGTTATAATGAGAGCAGCCAAGCAATAGATTTTATTGAGGCGAAGCGTTCAATAATTTGAGGTGGACATTGCAGTTCCTTTGACCCTGATCGATCAACCATTGAAAATCGCTGCACTATGACATTTTTAAAAAATAATTTCCTTTAAATGAAAGGAGCAATAACAACTGAACATTCATTTATGTGAACTTTAATGAGACTGCATGCTTGCCAAAATGAGGCAATATATATGGCTGACATTCAGTGACATTGTTTGCAACTCTTCAGATGTCATCGTAATTAAGCGTTATTGAAACTTTTAATTTTGGTAATGGAATTGCTTGCCTCGCAGACACAATTAAAAAATATTCTTAGTTAAGAAAGTGTATCAGATTTATAAATGGGAATATACGTATTACATTGCTAGCCTGGAATATATAGAATATTCTTGCCTTAGGATGTTTATAATTTACTGGTCTCTGGATTAATATACCCCGCTTGGTTTGAAATGTGGTAATCACCATTTAGCGTTTAGCTTACCTGTCACTTCTCTTGGCCCTTTACACGTTCAACCTCGGTCACTTCAGAAACGTATATCGAAGGATGCTAATTAAGAAGGAGGTAGCCTATATCTTATTTACTTATTGGAACTCCTGAGTCCGAGAACCTCAAAAAGAACGTGAAAGCAGCTAAAGATTAATGAGTGGTTCTTGTCATAGAAATTTTTTTGAGAAAATATACTGCCACGCGCCGTCGTGATCTATAATTTAATTACTCTCTGCATGATATCTGTTATTCTTATGATAGTGAGGTTTAGATTTATGTCATCACAGGGAGGAAATTTTCTCGAGATCAACTGAATGTGTTTATGAACTTCAGAGATAACAACCTCGGATAGCGATAGGTGAGATCTGGCGTAATGAAATTAAGCTGAAGTATTCGTGAGCTCTGGCGAAGAATTCGTGTAGTATACTTATTATACTTATTCGACTTATTCGTGTAGTATACTCATACTTATTCGAAGTATTCGTGTAGTATAGTAAGTATTCTGGTGAAGTATTCGTGAGCTTCTCTGAAAAAAAAAGACACGCTCAATACTCGTCCATTTTTAAGTTGAAACTCGCCTGGCATCGCAATTCACGAGAATTATCCTATTATCTAAATTGTCATCGTATTCGTGTCTTGGAATATAAAATCATTACTAAGTAATACTACAGTTTTATTCAGGATCGTTTGTAATTGCAGGCTATTATTGGTCAGTTAAGAATTTTTAGTTCACTAAGGAAACTTACCTTATTGAACCAATTGAAATGATCAAAGCGAGGCTTTAAACGAGATCGAAGACTTGTATATGTATGGCCAAATGATCTACGAACATCATCTATAACATATAGCCGGGTCCATATGCTTACAATATATCATGTCGCAGTATATGTACCAAGTCGCCTATTGAGTGAGGTGCCCTGCGGATTCCTTTGTGCATCCATACATAACCGCTCAGTTTTACATTGTATGCATTTATAGTTCGTTGAATGGTAGGTCGGTAATTTAATTTATAAACGGTAATAGAGGTAATTTGCATGGTGTTTTACGGACAATATGCATAGAAAGTACTATACAAATGCCATATACTATGGAGTGTCCCGCATTTATTGTTTGATCAGCCTCATATTATAAGATGTAATATAAAACATAAATGATGCCAGTTTCTTAAATGACCGATAATAATGACAAGGCATGATAATTAAGTAATCCCTCGATTAATGCTTATCACAACCCAATGTATCATTGATGTTTAAAATTTTAAAGATTATATTTAAGCCACATATTCGTGACACTGATGGTCAGTTCGAGTCTCGTGAAAGAAATACCTATCGCGATTATAAAGAAGTGTTAACGCGAAAGCACCGCCATCATTCCAACACCTTTAACTCCTATGCTAACGATTTCAAAACAACCATTTCTGGATTCTTCTTTCCTGTGGTTATATTTTCGAACAAAGTAATGCAGATCATCTACAGCAAATATGAGAGCTGCATTAATTTTTTCTAATAATTTCGTTCAGATTTAAAAAATATTTAATAATATTTTTTAAATAGCAGCAAGTGAACCGTTCGCTGTTTCAATTGTGTATCCATGTCGCTATAACTATAATATTCACGACCCTAGCAGGTATGAAAAAATATAACTCAGTACTCACTGAAGTGAGTACCAGAGAGCGCATTTTCTCGTCGACGAAAACTTGAGGTCACGGACGGACGGACAGACGGACGGACGGACAGACAGACAGACGGACATGGCGAGCACAATAGTGCATTTTTTTCCATAAATGAGAAAATGCGCTAAAAAGAGTAGAAATCATTGTATTATTTTAAATTCATAAATGGCACTTACAAATCAGCTTCAGTAGATATCCGTTCTTTTATTGGACACGGTACGTTATTGGCTGGGAATGGTGAATAGTGCAGCAGGCATCGTAGGAAGCGATGCCTTATCTGACTGACAGTCCCTTTCCCAAGCAGCGAAGCATGCAGCATCAGACGAACCTTGTGTGTAACATTCCACCTCGATCACGGTTCATGTATGCAAAGAAATACATATTACTGGTAAATAATTTCACGTCGATCACGCTTCCTGTATACTAAGAAATACAGATTAATACTGATTAATACTGACTGCAAGCACTTGCTCATCGCCGCGGTTACTGTTATGAAAAAAGCCATAATTTTATTATCAAACTCCTTTTCGTTAATTAGGAGTAGGTATATCTTAAGCACGTACTTGCGTTTACGCTAAAGCTAAGCATTTCCGTGCACGAGTCGGTATAATTCAGGTAAAGTTGTGCTCGTGGTCCTTTAGTGACATTTGGAAATGGCAATTAAGCTATTTAATTAAATGCTGTCTAATCATTCATGGCTGAGATTTGAAAGGTCTTGTTATTAAAAAATCATTATCTGGCAATTCACCTCTACATTGCTATCAGTGCGATCGACCTCA